TGGAGCACTGGCAGTGCACATGTGAGCTAAACATACACCAGCTATTCTTTAACCTCTCAGCACACGCGTGTGTTCGTGACGCTAACAGGCTCAAACAGACTTTTAACGATAAGCCACCCCCCCCCTTATCAGTCATCACATATGCATTATTTTAACCACGGCAAAAGCCACTACGTACCGTGCGGAATAAAAAAAAACCAATATACAGTACGTTGGCCAATATTTTGTTAGTATTGTTCATTTATTAAATTAAGCAGAAAATGCACAACCAGCCTTTGTCAATCCACTGCTGGATGAGGATCTCCTCACGTCGTGCAGGTCATAGGGGTTATCTGACCGTACTTCCCTGATTCCAGTCGGTGCAGGTGAGTGAAGGGGCAGGGAGGCGGTTAGGAACGGTTCAGACGCTCGTGGTCAATGATGATCCATGGCTCAGAGCGCTCATTCACAGGACTCACACGAGGTAGTTTGATGCAATGGAAGTCTGGAATATGTTTTTTGGGGGTTAATTATTTTCATTACAACTCAACGCGAGCCTGGTACAAAGCGCCGATCACAGATCGGGGTGGGGGGACAAAAATTCCGCGCACAGCAGCAGCAGCCCGAGTTCGGCGCGCCAGGCCTGGGTGAATGTTGAGGATTGGGTTCACCGCCCCGGGACCACTAGCCGGGCACATGAAAGTTCATTACGAGGAGGGGAAAATAATGGGGGGGGAAATAACTAGCATACGGGGGGGGGGGGGGGGGGGGGGGACATGGGAGAGGAGGGGAAGGGGGTGGGAAGGAAGTCTAGAATATTTAATCAAACTGGTTGAAGAAGTCACGAGAGTAACACGCTTTTGCGACCCATGCTGATATATTGACGCCTCATGCCAAACACCCATTAATGGAATTGGCCAACCGCCCCAGGGGGAGATGGTGCAGCACGGTTAGTGCACTGTGCTGTGGACCGGACCAGCGGTATTTGATTCCTGAGTGATATCTGACCTGGGCCCCCTCTATCTTCAGAATACCATGGATCAGCGTGGTGACGTTTTGTCTGAATCCAGCAGTGAATTCACAAGCGGATGAAAATGCACAGTAAAAACTAAGGCTAAGTTGCAGTCCATTTTTATTCTTGGTTCTTTCGGTAAAGTCACGTAGAAGGGAGATAATAAAATAATACAAATACAACATAATAAAATAAAATACAAAATAAGTTGCAGTCCATTCTTACACAGCTGCTGATAGAAGGACTTCCACCAGAGGGAGCTCAATAGGAAGCGTCATAGATCCTCCCGAGAGGGTATTTGCCTTCTCTCTCCATTCTGGCTGGCCGAACATCTTGAAAGACGTAGGTGGAACCGCATTTCATTTCCACACGCACACGCGATCCTGTGTGCCTTTGGAATGTGGGATACCCGCTTATACCGCTGTGTAATAAGAAGAGGATCTGAACTTGCCCATTGTTTCATATGCCAGACCGGGAGATCGAAAACGGCGACCTTCTGGATCGAGTGTGGTCGCCATTGCACTATTTCTGTGCACATTTTATAAAAGCCGCAATCATTGCAGCATGCAGTACGAATTCAGTTCCACCACAAAATATTCGCTGCCACCACCGAAATTTCCACCACGGTCCCCCACGCACGTGGCGCTACTGTACACGGAGTGTCCGCTCTCCATTCGCTCAAGTTCACTCGCTGGAATCAATTGCCGACTTTTCCCTCTTCCACAGGGTCTGGCTTGGAAAGCAAACCACAAAGTTACGGGTATCATTGGCACCAGGCTCGATCTCCTTACGCTGCCCATGCTTCCCACCTCTTACATCACCTGTTAACCACACCCCTGGTCCTCCATCACCCCCCTCCTCCTCCTCCTCCTCACCTTTAACAACATCTTTCCCCACTACTGTAACACCCCCTTGTGACTCCCACCTCCCCTCGTGCCGGGCCCAGGTCAATCTGGGGACAAAGACGCACTCGGCTGGAGGTGTGTGCTCTCACCCACGTGTCGTTCACACGCGCCATAAACCAGTCTGGCAAGGCAGATTATATTATCAGCTTTAGGGTAAGCTTGCTTCGTGCTAGATCAGACGTCACGGGACGGGACGGGGGGAGAGGAAATGCACACGCAATGTACACCGACTGACCGACACCCCTCTTGTCAATCCACTCCTGGACGAGCGAGGGCCTCAACTCTGCCCTGCGGGGTCGCGATGGGTGGCATTTGACCAAACTTCGCCGACCGTGGGCCCATCATCCAACAGTGGATTGATCGTGGCCGATGACGGCAACGCGTGCTATCTGTCAAGTGACGACGCAGGCTGCGGACGGGTTGGTACCGCCTTGGTGCGCAAATTGAATCTAGCGCGTTAACCATCGTTAACGCCACTTGGGGAGCAATGCGCTTTGAAATGTGGATTGAAAACTCATCTCTTTAGATTAGAACATCCCCTTCGCAGTTCAGTTTCTTGTCTTTGCCCGATCCCGCCGCACCTCCAGATTCGCACGGTTGGCTACGAAAGAAGTTCAGCAGGCGATCGCCCGCGTGTCACCCCCGGGGTCATAAAGGTTACGGCTCAATTAGAACCGCGGCACGCGTGAACCTCGTCTTGGGAACCTGGCTGAGCGAATTAACTCAGAGCGGGGAAGTTGTGTATGTGTTGTGTGTGTTGTGTGTCAGTGCGCACGTATATGCGTGTCGGTGTATTTAATTGGTAATGGTTCAATCAATCTGTATTTTACGTGCCAATATATGGTTAGAACAGCCGTGTATTTTATGGTTTTATTTGTATGTACCGTATATATGTTGAATTTCTTTTGCACCCTAGTGTATTAACGTAGCCAACCGTGCTCATTGAAGCTGCGGCTTTTTACGTCTCTTTCAATGCCTTTGCCTGCATGTAGGTTTTATTTTGACGTCTGCGTGTTTTGTGTCTGTTGTTTAATTCAACTGGCTTTGAGTTTCATTTCAGCGTCTATCTAAATGGTAGTACGTTGATGTCTCGAGCGCCTTTGTGCCTGTTCATATTTTATTTAATTGACCGTGTGCCCTTTTATCAATTCGACAACTACCGCGGCATACCTGCTCACACACACGGTCAACGCTACGAGAACCCACAGCTGTCTACCCAGATGGTTTACCCCGTATTCTTGTGCAGGGGAAATAAGAGTTTTCAAGTACATACGGCGTACACTCGTTTCAATGCGGGCAAAAAAACACGTTTTCGTCTTATTTGTTGTGTTTCTTTCTTGTGATGGGACCTTTGTAGGATGAAAGTTGAGATTTTATAAGGGCACGGGGTGACCAGTAAGATTTGAATTGGTCTGTAATAAGGCAGGTATTGATAAGGGGTCGACAGGTATGAGAACACGAGTCACCAACAATGTAAACTTGAAGACGATTTCTTGGGTTGCGATCGAAACGTCGTGATTTATTTTTATTTTTCTATCTACGTGACTTTACCCAAAGAGAATCTAACAACATCCATTATAGGTTTCCCGCGCTTCTTGCGGGTTCGGTTCGTGCGATTTGGCGTGTATATATATACACACACGCCAACCACATTTCTCCACGAAAGCCTCTCTACATGCGGGTTGAATTCACTCTGTACTGTTCGCTCAACCTGGCAAGACAGCTCGGTCGTCTCCGTGTGGTTTCACTTCGTCGTGTCCATTTCATCTTGGAAACTCATCGGCAACGGCACAAGGAGATGGGAAAACCTGCATTCACCACAATAGCCGGGAGCTTGGGTGGGTGGCGAAATGACTTATTAGGGGTCAGTGTATCGATGAGCGGTAATTACGTTATGACAAGTTTCGTGCTTGGAGCACCTTGTGTTCGAGTCACGGAGAACTTCTGATCCAAGCAGGGGCGGAGCCAGGATTTTCAGCCCGGGGGTGACATTCAACAAATGTTAATTTCAAGAATGATTTAGAGAGAGTCAGGCTGTTGAACTAGACGCCATCGGTTTGGCGGACACTCTCTGGACAATGCAGTAGCGCGAAGTCCGCCAGACCGAGTGTCGTACACTTTATACGCAGAATGTTTCAGATTTTTTTTTATTTTTTTCGGGGGTGACAATTGTCTACCCTGTCACCCCCCTGGCTCCGCCCCTGGATCCAAGACCCCTGTCAATCAAAGTGTTATAGGCATAAGCACAGTATAGGGTACACTTTAAATAGGGCTATATTACTTCCACTGCCATATTCTTAGCTCTTTCGGTAAAGTCACGTTGAAGGGAAACAATAAAATAATAAAATATATAAAACAATATTTTTTTTAATTTTTTATTGTTTTATATATTTTATTATTTTATTGTTTCCCTTCAACGTGACTTTACCGAAAGAGCTAAGAATATGAATTACTGCAGTCACGAAAGCTTTAAATCAAAATTTTCCACTGCCATGTTATGGACAGGCCTTAACGCAGATGATGACAAACGTCGAGCCAGCCTCGGATGGAGCGCTGGCGGGTTACATTCTTATCCATGACGTTTGAATTCGTAATTAAGATTATCAATTAATTCATAATCAATTCCTAACTAAGGTTAGATCGCGTACACATTTATATTTACGCGATCTAACACCCCCCCCCCCAAAGAAAAACTTTAAATCTGAACAATATTCATCTTCTTTGGTTCTTTCGGTAAAGTCACGTAGAATGAGAATAAAAAATATAATATTATTTATTAAAATATGATTTATTATTATTCTCATTCTACGTGACTTTACCGAAAGAACCAAAGAAGATGAATCCTTGCAGTCACGAAAGCTTTAAATCGAAACTGAACAATATTGGCCGATGAAAGTTTATTACGTGTTAAAAGTGACCTCATTTGAGTGTTCGTCATCACAGCGGGTTGCGAAGAAGACCTCTTTGGGTAACACGTGGCTTGTAATCCGGGTTCTCAGGGTTAGAGGCAGCGTGCGTATGTGTGTATATATAGACGTGTGCCAGCGAGCGCCGTCTGTGCAAACACACACAGGCACGTGTGTGTGTGTGTGCACGGCACGTGCGTCAGTTGGGGGGGGGGGGTGGTTGTTACTTATTCACTTGTTGTGGAGTTTAAGGTTCGGGTCTGGCCGGTTTTTTATATATATATTTCAAGGGACACACACGCGTTGCACGTTAGAGCGGTTTGGTCATAATTCCTCTTGTTGCACCACCACCACCCTCCTCCATCACCACCACCACCACCCTCCATCACCACAACCACCCTCCACCACCACCACCACCCTCCACCACCCTTGCGCAAGTCTTGCGAGTGCGTGAGTGGAGTCACAAGTGGTGACGGTAGTCGCGCAGTCTCGTGGTTGGTAGCCTAAACTTGTCTTCCTGCTGTGTCTCTCTCTCTCTCTGTCTCTCTCTCTCTCTGTCTCTCTCCCTCTGAGTATTTTATTTCGGAGTGAGCTGAAGCGCAGTGGCGAGAGCCGTTTGGCACTCCGAACCCGGGTCCCCCCCCCCCCATACCCACTCGCGGTTAACACCGCGTGGCGATTACATCCGAGCCGGTTCGTGCGCCTCCCCTAGGTCAACTCGGCCTTAAAAAAACCCCCACATCAACGGTGGTGTGAGACCAAGAGAGGTGACCGAGTTCGCAGCGTTGGTTGGCTCAACCCCTGCCTGCGTGTGGCGTCGTGCCCAGCCTCTACATTCGGTGAAAGTCGCGACCAGCAGCACCTGCCCCCCCAAGTATGTTATAGGCGATACGGGGGATCTGCTGATCTACTGATCGATCGATCGTTCGGCATCTGTCTGCACACTTTAACACGCAGGAGACGCTAGGCCCAGTGTGAACAACATGTGTCCAGTGTGAACAACATGTAATCAGTGTGAACAACGTGTGTCCAGTGTGAACAACGTGTGATCAGCGTGAACAACGTGCGATCAGTGTGATCAACGTGCGATCAGTGTTGATTTTGGCAGTTTGAAGAAAACCAACAGTCGTAGTACAACGGTTGCTCAACTTGTTGTGTTGTTCCATCCGACTTGCGTGCGTGTTTAAACAATTTTCTGCCCAGAACATTATACTTTTGTTTATTTGTTTTAAAGTCAACTGTGGTTGTTATTTATTTTTCTCGTGGTGTCTGCGCGCGCGTGTTGTATTTCAAGTCGAGGTGTCGTTGGATGCCAGCAAATCGTTTGCTGGCACCATCATCATCATCATCTTGTTCTTCTTCTTGTTGTTCTTCTTCTTTCAGCATGTTCCGGTACCTCTTGAGTCGCCGTGCCCTGCCAGCCATGACAAGCGCTGCCTTCGTCGCCGATTCTGAGACGAGGAACCGAAGAGACTCGGCGAAGGGCGGCAGACGTGCACCCTCGACACAACAACAACCACAACCATCACCAACATCATCGGAACTCGCAAAGGTAGTACCGTCACGCATGCAATGTAATATTACATGCTCAAGGAATGTGGAATGTCTCCCCCTTCCCTTGACTCAATGGCTGTGATCGGATTAACGTGAAACTATAGATGTATGGATGTTACAGGAACGCAATGTAATACGTGTAGATTCGTCTCTCGGTTAACGGTCGCATCGGTTAACAGTTGTTTCGGTTAACGTCTCCATGGTTTCGACGACCGTTAAAATAACAAAACATAGGTTTATATTCATGGTTCTTTCGGTAAAGTCACGTAGAAGGGAAACAATAAAATAATTTTAAAAAATACAGCTTTACCGAAAGAACCAATAATATGAATCCCTGCAGTCACGAAAGCTTTAAAACGGCATTCAAATACAGTATAAGTATTTGAACATCTTAACACCTAAATTTTGATTTAAAGCTTTCGTGACTGCAGTGATTCATATAAAGAATACGCATCTTAACACCTGTTTTATTTCCAGAAAGGGCCAAACCCTATTCTTATTTTTTCACACTTTGATACTGGCAAAAGAGGTCCCATTTTAACGTTCAAAATGTTGGTTTACGGTTTTTACGTTTTTTTCACGCGGGGCGTCCACTGTCGGCCAATCCGAGCGCTCAAAAAGTGGGGCTGAGCCATGCCCGCGGCCAATCAGCGACCGGGCTTTGTTCACGTTATAACGTTGACTGTTTTGGAAGTGGAAACGGCTCTCTCTCTCTCTCTTTGCAGACTCAGTGATTTTTTTTGTAAACATTTTTTTTAGATTTGAAGCTTTCGTGACTGCAAGGATTCATACTCTTTGGTTTTATTCGGTAGAGTCTACATGACTTTACCGAATAAAACCAAAGAGTATGTATTTTAAATTTTGATTTAAAGCTTTCGTGACTGCAGTAATTCATATTCTTAGCTCTTGCCGTTGGTTTTTCACACCTGATGATGACCGTTTGTGTTATGGTCGAAACCTGAGAATTTTTATTGTTTTATATATATTTTATTATTTTATTGTTTCCCTTCAACATGACTTTACCGAAAGAGCTAAGACTAACTACAATAACAAGTTAGGGAAAACTACATGTGCATAAAGCAAAGCTTAATGATAAAAAAATCCCATACTCGTATTATTACCGGCTTAATTTGGGGTTTATTTATGAGAACAATACAGAGGGAATACAGCTCGTTGAAAGGGGAACTTGTACACGAACAGAACTTCACCACAATCACTGCCACCAAGTGGCCTGGCTTTCCACCCTGGCCGTGTAACCCATACATCTTCTCTCTCCCCGTCCAGCCAAATTGCCGCCACCACACGCTCGCACCGGCAACCTCTTGTGAATCATTGTTTTTTTTCGGTAAAGTCACGTATGTAGAAATACAATAAAATTATATTAAAACAAATCAATCACGACGTTTCGATCACAACGCAAGCGATCTTCATCAGGTGTCAAGAACAAATCATGGAGGTAAATACAACACAAAAAGATGAGAGACGAGCATGCAACAAACCTGAAAAAACATTATGTGAAGCACAGCCAGTCAGGCCAACAACACAGTTAGACACTTCCTGGTGGACCACGAATTTCATAAAAGTGTTAAATTTCGTGTTCAACCTCTGGATTGCACAAACCAGCATAGAAAGAGTGATAAAAGTGAAAAAAATACGAGGTATACGGTCAGTAGAAATACATATACAAGTCCACCAAGAGGTAAGGAGGGAGGAAAGACGGACAGGGAGGCAAGGAAAGAGAGAGAGGGGGGGCCACAGGGAAGAACAGAAGCTTAAATAGGAAATACGGTTGGGGGGGGGGCAGAGAGAGAGCGGCAGCTCAAACACACACATTACACATACAAAACGGAAGCTCAAAAAAGGCACATCTTGCACATACACTTTAACCTCCTGTGAGTTAGAGGTCGTCGGGAGACGTACCTCATTAATTGATCAATTAGCCGTTTCGAACAACATTACTCAACGGCTTTGTTATTCAAAGTGGGCATCAATAAGGCGCTACAGGCTATAAAGCTGTCAGCGGTACCGGCTTTGCTCATGCCATCGGCCGATCTTCTTTCGTATGGCTGATGTAGACAGAGAGAAACAACTACAATTTCACATTCAGGTGGTTCAAGCAAAATTACCGCATCAGGAGTAGCGGAGTGTGTCACCGTAATGTCTCCTTGGTATTTGAGGATCGGGGCATTGCATCGTTATACGGTATGTTGTACGGTCTGTTCTGCATGACCACAGTCGCACATCGGAGGGTTTTTAATTTTCCATTTGCGCATCAGGTATCCGCGTCTGCCATGGTTTGTGCAGTGGATGCAGTTTAGGGTGAAACATGAGCTTCGTGGAAGATCAAGCCCAGGGATCTTCTGCGTTGGGTCTGATGGACTGATTGGAAGCGCTTACTGGATTGGTGGAAGCATAAGGGTGATTCAAAGCCTGATTGGCTGAGGGAATTTGAAAAATGAGAGCCCACCCAGGTTATGGAATTGAGGGAAACTTTGGAGAGGCTATTTGAGAGGTGTAGCGGGGGGGGGGGGCACTGAAAACCAAGTTTACGTTGGACCCTTAGCTCACCTTCACGTGGAATATGTTATGCATTCCAATAGGTAGGCAGTAGTATGGAAGCCTACAGGTAGCTAGCTATCGTAGAAAAAATAATGTGCATATATGCAATTCGTCCTTTTTGCTCTGGGTCATCTCCCTTATTTTGGGAAGCCCTTTGATCAACTTGGTCGATTTACAATAGAGTAAGTCGTGGAAGTGACGTACTTTTTTCTGAAATTGCAGTTTGTATCTAGGCTGGAGTTTCAGATTGTTGGTGTTTTAAAACCGATATCGGGAACACGTGCCTACTGTGTATATATTAAGTAGATGTTTCTTATGGACAACTGCGATACGTCAATGTGTCTGTCACATGGTGACCAAAGGTTTTGCAGAATTGTTAAAATGACGGTCATGACCTCTTGTGCAGCTCTGGATTTGATTTAAACTTCCCCTTTTCAAACTGCAGTGTGAAAAGCAGCTCGCCACGTACATTTTTGAAATGTGGGTTGAGCTCGCTGTTTTTGGCACTGCCGCAGAAGCAACTGGCAAATCGTTTGTTATTGATGGGGGAAGTTTTTTTCTTTCTTTCAGGACCTAAGATGTTCACGATAATCTGTTCATGGGGATGGAGTGCGTGGGAGTTGGATGTTGTTCAATAAAATCGTTGATGTGTTTTAGGCAGACGCACACCATGAGTTATCAGGCAAAGCAGAACTTACAACAAGTTCTGTACAAAAGCTCAAATTGCTCTGACCTGGCTTTGGCTTTTCACGTAGCTTTTTGCAAAACTCTTTGCACTTGGGGATATTTGAACTGCTTTGTAAATAAACGTGCATTGTAAGGGTTGTCATGCAGTGTGACAATTGGGTCTCAGCAGATATGTTTTCTGCAGTCCAGCTATAATGTGTTTTCAGTTTGTACGGAATGGTGTTGGGCCTTACGTCCGATGTTTCGCGCCTTGTAAAAATTTTATAAAATTATTATGGCTATAAGAATAGGTTTTTCCCGTTATTTCTGACAACAAAACTGAAACCTTTCTGCAAGGAATCATGGTCTGCATTAACCACGATACTTGTGGTCATAATGCAAACAAAAACATACTCTAATAATATATGTGGCATTGTCTTTGAAACTGATTACTCTGATAGCGCATTGTCTTTGAGCTGTACAGTACGTCTTTTGGCGTCCACTGGTCGAACACCGTTTGAGACTAGGCTCAAAAGAAAGCTGTCTCTGGTGTGGACCAATCAGTTTCAAAGACAATGCATCATATTATCAGAGTGTTTTTTGTTTGCATTCTGACCACAAGAATTGTGGTTAATGCAAACATGATTCCTTGTGAAAAGGTTTCAGTTTTGTTGCCAGAAAAAAGGGGAAAAACCTATTCTTATATTTTGGTACTGGCAAAGGAGGCCTCATGATATATTATGGCTATCTTTCATATGACAGAAAAGCTTTAAATGGGATGCATAGTTTGGTAATACAATCAGTGGTCTCCTGAGATATGAAGTGGAGATAAGGATTGCCTCCAGCAACAGATTTGCGTGGGCAGGTTGATGTGATATGTTGCATAGTCTGGGACTCATGACCACAGGCACATTTGGGGTCATCCCTCATCTTCCACTTGTGAAGCATGTGGCCACATTGCCCGTATCCTCTATGGATTCCATTCAGTGCTGTCCACTCTTCGAGGGTGGTTGACCCTGCCGGTCAGTGACGAGGCATTGGTTATGGACGTTGCATGCATCCCACATTTCCCATCCATGTGGATAATTGGGTTGGTGCCAGCTGCGTGAATATTGGCTCCTGTTCCCCGAATGGCCGGCGTGATTTTAAGCACTTTCGTGATGCCTTTGTTCAGGTCTTCGTGAATTGGAGGGTCTGAATTGCTTTCCATTTTTTCCCATCTCGCGTTGCACAGTGGCGTTGCGGCGGATGGCAGGTAGGATAATTTGGAACAGCACTGGAAGCCGCTTCAATTGGAGTGGACTTAAGCATCCCTCATACCGACCTCGTTGCAGAGTTTATCTGTACATCTACGATATTAGTGTGGCGGTTACTAGAACATGAGGCAAAGCAGCATTCTGCAGCAAAGTACATGCGGGTCCCTGTTGCACGCACTGTGGAGTGTTGTAGCTGTGCTTTTTCATTCTACGTTTGTTTTTGGGAGTAGTTGGATCTTTGAATTGGCTAGGAGGCAACCCGCAATGGCGTCGGCACTGACCCGTGGCACCTATGGTGGGGGCGGTGAGGTGGCACCAAGCCAGCGATAGAGATTTGCAGGTTTCCTGCTGGAGTGTGAGAATTCCAGGTTTTCCATGGTTTCTCACCAAGTGCAAATCTGCCTTAATCTCGGGAATCAGTGCGTGCCGTAGCTCTGACCGGGCCTGCAAGTCACATTTTATTTTCTGTAGCTGCACGGGATGTTTCTGGTGGCTATCACTTTCAGCAAAATGGCCATATTTTGGAGAAAGTGGTATTCTCTGGATTGTCATTCCGCCAATGCTTGCAAAGGTGGGCCATGTGGCCTTTCAGAACTTTCATCTTGGTTTTGGCACTGAAGCGACTATCGGCACTTTGATCCCTACAAGTACGATGCTGGCCCTGTCTTGTGAGTGGGGGAAGTTCTTAAGAACCTTCCAGGATCAGGTGAGCAGCCATCCTTTATTGTCACTTTTCATGAAGCAGAGGTCCGGTGGGCATTTATTCCTCCAGCGGGCTAAGAAGAAGGTGCCCGGGCATTTGGCATTGAGGACGAGGTGGGTGTCAGAGGCTACCACCCAGTCTTTGAGGTGTTCACCTGCTCGGTCTTCTTTTTGGTAGCCCCTCATACGGTGGTGGATGTTGAAATCGCTCATGCAGATGGCTGGGTGGTTAGCCGCTGTTAGGACAGTGGTTAGCCACGATGTAGTTGGAGGCTTGTAGACGTTAACAATGGTCAGCTTAAATTTTGATTCAAAGCTTTCGTGACTGCAGTAATTCATATTCTTAGCTCTTTCGGTAAAGTCACGTTGAAGGGAAACAATAAAATAATAAAACATATTAAACAATAAAATTCTCACGACGTTTGTGTTATGGTCGAAACGTCGTGAGAATGTTATTGTTTTATATATTTTATTGTTTCCCTTCAACGTGACTTTACCGAAAGAGCTAAGAATATAATGGTCAGCTTGCCCACTCGAATTGTGATGGAAAACAGTGAACTGCTTGTGGGCAGGAATTCTTCTGCTTGTGTACTTAGGTTGGCCTGGACGTATGTGGCCATGCTGTGTTTCATATGGTATTGGCAGGCTACCATGTGGTATCCGTAGATATTCATCCTGCATGGGTTGGGTTCAGGTAGGTGGGTTTCTTGGATGGCAAAACTATTGATCGTCTACATAATAAGTTTTTTTTTACAAGACCCCACATTTTGATCTGGATATGCCTTCAACGTTGGTTGGTCCTGGTATGGACCTTTGCTTGACATGTTTGGGCTTTCATGCGTTTCAGACCAGGAGGCCATTTTTGTGCATTCGGTCATCTTGATGACATTGTCAGCGAACTAGCACGCACAGGGAGACCACTTGCAGATGGTTATTGTCTCTATGGCTATTTTAGCTACAAGTGTAGTTGCTGAATCATAGTCTGTTCCACCGTCTTTCACAGCATAACAGTCATAATGTTAGGGGTTAACCTGATCGTGATCGGCAGAAATAGAAAATTGTGTCAAAGGGGAAAGAAGTGTGGCTACATTTGAATTGGCGACACATGTCATCGGACGTGGCAGAGTAGAGAGCAGGCTGGCGCGGCGCCACGTGCGTTCATTTGGCAGCTCGTATTTCTTGTTTGCGAGAGAAAGGCATTGCCGAGTGGCTTGGCACTCAGACAGGCAGCCGACTGACTCGTCACCACCCCGTGTGCTGCACGTTGCTGTTACAGCTGACACTGCCTTCACACTTTAATGCCCGAGCACATTATGGGTCATGGGCTGCTGTGCCTCGCAGTTGTGCACTCAAATGTGTAATCGGATGTATTTTTTGGTCGTGGACGAGAGGTTCATATATTATTATTATTAACTATTGTCTACCAAACTGCTGGATGACGATATCTGTGCTCCATCTCTGTGGTGGTTGCCCTCTACGGAATGTTCTGCTGTTGGCTGTTATTCCGTCACTGGTCTTGTCCGCTAGCCATCATTCCATCAAGCAATGTTTTCTCCCGAAGCGCACTTACTTCTCTCACCGGTCCAAGTTACGTCTAATTTGCATTGGTTACTTGATTCACGTTTCCCAAGTTGTTTGTCTTCAGTGTTATTCAGAGTACCCGTCTTTCAATGATTTTTTGTGCAATGTTCATTTGTTGTTTAGTTTCTCTTTGCCAGTGTCCTTATTTATGATCTACATGTCGTAGCTACAATAAGCACTGATTGAAAATTTGTTTGGAAGTCCAATAAAGCAATCGACAAAATATGCTTCTGTGAAAATGTGGAATTGAGGTCTATCTGTTGATGCATTTATTTACCAAAGAACTAAATGCTGATTTTTTTTTTCTTTGATGAGCATGTGTTTTGGTGCTTGGTAATTCATTGTGTAACAAAGATGAAAACATCCGCACTTAACTGCTTGCAGTATTGGGATAACAACTCTAATATTGCAGCAAGATTACACTGAAGCAGCACTACAAGATTTTTTTTAATGCCTCAGAAGTCGAGTGATAATTGGCAGGCTTTTAGCTCATACTTGATCAAATTCCACCATGACTGTTTATAACTCAGTCTAGTGCCATCTTTACTCATTGATTCTTTCGGTAAAGTCACGTAGAAAATACAAAAAAGCCTTCTGTTTGTCTTGGCGTGTGTCTTTGTGTGTGTCTCTCTCTGCATGTGTGTCTGCCTGTGGTGTTTCCGTGTCTGTGTTTTATCATTCATTCTTACCTGATGATGGTTGCTTGTGTTGAAACCGAAACGTATTCTATTATTATTTTATTATTTTATTTTCTACGTGACTTTACCGAAAGAACCAAAGAGTAATTCCTGCAGTCACGAAAGCTTCGAATCTAGTTAGTGTCATCTTTGCTTGTTGCTGTAATTGTAACAGCTCAAGTATGCGGATCAAATGTTGCTAGGGTTATCACGGACGTGGATTAAACACGAAACTTTGTTCGTGGTGCCTGGGTGGGTTGGAAGTCAGAGTGATGAGGAGACATTGCCGGGACACAAGGTTGGCACATCGGCAGTCATCCGAGATGGAACGGTGCCCTCAAGTGTATCAAGTTGTTTGTCTCAGCCTGGTCACCATTGACAGCATACACAACAATAATTAAAGTTGCTTTTCCACTTAATGTAGCAAAATTCCAACTTTGAAAATTCAAAATAATAGCGGAGTGTGTTTGAAAGTGTGCCCCCTACCGTACAAACGATGAAAAGCCACTTGAGAGAATGTTTTTTTGCACAGCAGCAAACCGCTGTGAAAGATTTCCAGACAAATCCTTTGTCTCATAGTGCGAGACCGATAGCACATCTGGAATAAATTAAAGGAATAGAACCCCCCCCCCAAAAAAAAAACATGGCAATGTATGACTTTAAATTTCAAAATAAAGGCACGACTTGAAAAATGTGCAGTGTGTTATCTTATTTTCTAGTTGTCGTGTTGATAAATGTACCAGTAATTTAAGTAGAAAGAATTGGCGTAAAAAAAAGTGTTCATATGGTACAATTTGGAATGATGGCAAGTAAAATTACCGCAGAGGTGGGATGCGCTTTTTTTAATTGAATAATGATTAAGTAATGTTCTTGTCGTTTCAACGCAGGAATATTATCCTTACAGAAAACTGTCTGTACGAGTGATCAAAGCTGTGAACATACATGGAAATGACATATGTAAGTAAAACCCATTTTTACATTTCAAATCCAGTTTAAACTGTATTCCAGATATTTACGTATTATATTTTGTACCCTAATAGCTTTAGCCATTCTTTGTTTATTTATTTGTATTGATTAGCTTGTTGAATTAGAGAATTTGTTCAATCATTCTCACATTTTTATAGAAATAGTTAAAACACAATTCAACCATGTTTGCTGATCGTCAGTGTTATTTCTTAACTCTTTATAGGTGCGTTATTTTATCCCCCCCCCTGCCGCCCGCTGCTGCCCACCGAGCAGTGTCCATCGGTACACCACAGTCTTATCGGCAGGTCGCTTGTGGTGGTGTTACATGTGGGTCCTCCAACATCTTCCAAGGGAAGAATAGGGCACAATGCCCTCTGGAGCAGATCTCTAGAGCTCCTGCTAATGGAGGGCCTTCTGCCAACAGGGGCGTGCGCAAGTCATTTCAGGGCTGCACCTTGTGAGGATTTCCATAATAGATGGCCCTGCTCCATAATCATGAATGTAATCATATTCATGCCACAACACGTTTCGTGACTGTGTGTATGTATGCAATGTGGAATGCGTGATGCTGATGCGTTGTGCACTGTGTACAACACTCCTTTAACAAATGTGAGCTTCAAAGCATATTTGCTGCTGAAAGATGATTCTGAATGGCTGATAGTGAAATGATCAGGAATCGTGCAGGGACGTTTTCAGTTTTAAAACCACACACACACACGTTTGTGATCAATACACCTAAGGGTAGCGAGCTGGGAATATTAATGCTTACACAACAAGTTGGGGCACAACAAAGCTTGCTGGTTGATTTTAAATTTCCCCACAAATTCCGTTGGCTCAAGTAAGCAAAGTCTGATGATGTAATATTTGGTGGAGGAAAGAGGAGAGTCGTGTGGACATGTCAATGTATAATCCGAACTCCTGTTATGTAACTGTAGCTTTAGAAGGCTTAATGCTCCCCGACGTGTTTTAATTGGTATTAATATATCCCCAGCTGGCTGTCCAGAGGTGTGTTAATCCAAACGTGTGTTTAAAAGGTACATTAATCGTAAAACTGAAAATCTTTCTTGCATGAATCTCAATCATTTAGCCACCAGTCATTCTGAATCATCTTCCAAAGGACATCGTCTCCTGTTTTAATCCCTTGGCGTTCATTCCCCGCACCTCCAATGTAGCACGGTTGGGTACGTACAGTGCCAAAGAAGTTCAATGTGCAAACAGCCAAGCAAATTCACATTTAAGTGTTCTCCGCTCGATAATTGATGTCGTTACAAAGCAAGGTCGAATTTAACCCATGGCAAGGTCTATTTCAGAATGGCAGTGGAGAAACTGCTTTTTGTAATTGTGTGGTGGAGGGAGGGTGGAATGTGCCCCAATATAGCTGCAGGCAGATATTAGACCCTGTTTGAACTTGCATCCAAAAGATCAAGCTCAGCTTTTGAGATCCATGGCATGGCATTACTGTATACACTTTATTTATCCGAATTATAAGACGTTCCAGAAATTAAAAAGTCCGTTTTATAATTTGAAGATTCGGTACCGTGGACCGCCCACCTTCCAGAAGATGATTGTGAACGTGCTGCTTCAAAATGGGAATATATGTCTTGTGGAAGATGATTATGAACAACTGGTGGTGCCTTTTGTCCTCTGGGTGGTCATGTCTTGCTACGGAGAACCATATTCTGAACCACTAGATTAAAACACATCTTCCAGGAGGCGAATGTATTCTCTCGATTATAAGACAACTTTTTACTTAAGTATTGGGTGGCTGGGGGAAAGTGCGTCCTTATATTCTGATATTCAGGAGAACTAGCCTCTAGCCCGTCCAAGGACCGGGTGTATTGCAGTTAATCTGAAATATTCAATCGAAAATAATGACCTGCTCATGATTATTAATGAGGGGGTGGGGGCGGGGCCCACATGAGTGACGTCATCAGCTCATGATTATTGGTGAGGGGGTGGGGGCGGGGCCCACATGAGTGACGTCATTAACTCATGATTATTGGTGAGGGGGGGAGCTGCATGTGGAGGAACGTCATCCGCTCATGATTATTAATGAGGGGGCGGGGGCGGGGCCCACATGAGTGACGTCATTAGCTCATGATTATTGGGGTGGGGGCGGGGCCCACATGAGTGACGTCATCCGCTCATGATTATTAATGACGGGGGGGGGGGGGGCGCGGTTTGTGTCGTCATGCGCGGGACACACATTGTTGACTCATTATGTTAGTAATACGGTATTGCAAAACCCGTGTTGAAATAAGCTTTGGTTTGGTTAGTCCTAATATATTTTCTGTTTGTTTTCAGTCGGGCGTCGTGACGTCTGTAATTATGAATCATGCACAGGTTTCATTGTTATGGATTGCTTGTGCTTTTTAACCTTGAATATTATTTAGATTTTCACCAGTTATATGCACACAGTATTAAGCAACATCAAGACGTAGAATGTAAAGTACCTTTTAAAAAAAAGTTGTTGCACTATTGCCTCGACTTTGCATGATTATTCACTCATTCGATAAAAATTGCAAAGTAGGTTTTGTGGCGTTTACAATTTGAAGATGAAGCATGTATTTACGTTGAACTTCTTTCCCACTGTACGTGGCCAGCCGTGCTAATCGGAGGTTGCAGTGTGGTTGGCACTGTAAGCAGTTGGAGTGTGGTTGGCACACTGTGATATGAATCCGGTGACCCGAGTTAAGTTCCTGGCCACAGTGGCATGCCATATCTTAGCTGCTCCTGCCGTCTGCCCCCACGCAATCATCCGGAAAATGTGCAATGTTGTGCCAGCATTGTGATATGGTTGGGATCCTTGGCGAGATCCAACATTGGCCCAACGTTCCATGTTTACTGAGTCTCCACCACTCTACTGCCTTCACCACTTACCGGTGGGATGAAGTGTGGTCATTAGATCACCATGACAAGCATGGTGTGGGAAGGCCTTCAACCAGTTGTTGAATGACTAATATCTCCTAAATTAGTATTATTTATACGGTTAAGCAATAGTACACAGAGTATAGAAAGCATAAATTTTAAAAAAATGTTTTTGCCTAGACTTATGTTCGTGTAAACTCATGGAAAAAAAACATTTAAAAAACACAACGTGCTTATCATTTGTTTTAGATAATTACACATTTGGATCCGTGCTATTTTATAATTTTACGGATGGTGGTGATTTTGCAAGACTTTTAACAAGTTCAGGATTGTACCGATCATAGCTGATGATGATAATGGGAGGCGTCTGAAAATAATCTTACAATCTAATTGGGATAACTTAGCAGGTTGCCTTATTGCAATTCTACCTTACGTTTGGAAAGGTTGATGTGGTGTCTGATCAAGAGCAGCGTTGCCGAACAACGAATTTGTCATTGGTGAAAAAATTTACCTTAAAAAAAACAGCTCTTCAATCAACGAGGCATTCGTGGGAGTGGAGCCACTGCAGTCGGTGGTGAGGAATTTCAAGCAATATTGCAGCTCCCGCACATACAGTGCGCTACTTGATGAGCAACTCATGTCCATTATATTTGTACTTGTGTTGCAATAGACCGTGTTTTGGCACGTTGGTTGAATGTTCTGTTGAAATTCGAAAAAAAAACTATTGAAGCCATGCTTAATCCACCGATGAAGACCTTCCCACACCACGTTGTTTCTTGCTAGCCTCTTGACATTTTGGGCCTGTACTCAGGAACTATAGAAAACTCCAAGTTATTAATGTATGTACAGTATGTTGCACTTCCTTTGCACCATACGTCCGTGCTAATCGGAGGTACGGGGAAGGACAACAAACTAAACACAAAAAGTAGTACAATAGAAATGAGTTTTCAATCTAGATTTAAAAGTGCATAGCTCCAGTGGTTTCCTAATATCGGAAGGAAGGGCTTTCCAGATGGCCGCAGAAGCGCATTTGAAAGCGCATGATGTGGTAACTTTCATTGTTCGATGGCCAGCCAAAAGCTGCTGTGACGATGACCAGAGTTTGCGTGATGGTTTATGCTCCTTGACGAGATCAGCAAAGTATTGTGGTTCACTTGTGGCAAGCCCCTTTGTGTGTAACGAGTGCGACCTTATGTTTTCGTTTGGCAACCGAAAGCCAATGCCGCTGAACGAGCGCTGGACGGATATAGTCAGATCTTGCAGTACCCATCGTGACACGTGCAAGATAATTTTCTACACACTACTGTTTAGAAATTATTTTCTTCCAGACATGGGGTTTTGACAATATTTCGCCACATTTGTCAATGTGGGTTGGTGAAGGGGGTGCGGGTGGCATTAGCACTGATATCTCTTGTCACTGATGTCAGCCATGGCAGGGAATAAAACTCGGAACACCAGTTTCATAGCGCTGCGCACTAATCACTCTACTACTGCTGGACTCTGAAATGCCAATGTCCCTTTTTAATTAGCATGCAGCTTGCAGACAGATGGTGTTACTTTTTAGGTAGTATCTATGTATTTGTGATGTGTGTTTTGGAAGACGTACTTCTTCATGATGTTTATTAATCGTCTTCGTCAATCCACTGCCGAATGAAGGTCACCCTAAAGTCCCCACGACCTCTCACGATCCTGCAATGTAATGGTCCACTCAGCAGATCACTAATAACTACATTTGTGTGTTTTGTTTTTGGGATGCGGCTGCAGTCAGCAAACCCGACTGCTACGTGCAGCTGAATCTTCCCACCGCGTCTGCCAAGCCGGTTTCCACCAAAATTATCAACAACTCCAGCAATCCACAATGGGATGAGACGTTCTTCTTTCAGGTCCACACGGCACTTACGGTGAGTCGGGGCGGACACGGTACAGCTCATTCCACTTCACGAAGATCCGTTTGCTCACAGTCTCCTATTCCATTGTTATCACAAGTTTCACATCTCATTGGTGGGGGGGATCTGTAGTACTGGCAATCTGTTATGTCCCCTACACTGTCCTCCCTTGATTCACGGACTTTTTTGTTATTTGCATGAAAGATATGGTTGTTAAAGCATCACCCGTGTAAAAAAAAACTGTACAAGGTTTGCACACGTGTGAAGCTCGCGTTTTATTGACCACATTTTACTATGCATTGATGCTTTTCTGTCATGACCAGTGGTGAGCCGAATTGCCAAAGTGATGTGCTTTTAGACATTTCATCACTCTTGTATTCTCACCCATCCATCATAAGTTTTGTGTCCGCCTCAAAATTCGCCCCCTTCATCCATCAACAACTCCAATTCCAGATCTGACTTTTGACCCTGTCCCCCTAACCCCACCCGGCACGATGTTTGCACCAGGCCGGGCCCAAGAGACCTGTCCTCACTGCGGCTTGTTCTCAGAGGCAGCCCCTCATTTCTGGTTAGCTCTCAGTTTGTGTTTTGGGGGTTTGTACCGCGTGTTGTTTTGCACGACGTCAGACGTTTTTTCGCTCCACGCGTTGGGCGCTTCTTCAGGAACTGAATTAAGTTAGCCGGTCTCTCCTGAACTGAATAAGAGTTAGCCCCTCCATTCCGTTCCTGAAAAAGCTTCCAGAATGTGGAGCCAAACATCGGTTGATCATGCCGAATGACGCACGGTGCAAACCAAAGACGCATCGCGTCATCGGAGAGCTGTACGGCATCACCGCGGACACCTACGTAGTCGTACCATTGCTGTTTAACTCCACATCATGGGGCTCTCGGATCTCTGCAATGAAAACCAAACGTCACGCACTCTCAGAGCTGGGCCCACCACCCAGGCCAGCTCGTGACGTCATGGGGTGAACGCAAATGCGAAGATGCGGCATACCATGAACTTGTTTTTTTTTTCGTTTTGACTTCACCCGGCAGTGATTATGATAAAAAATACACACTCCACAAATAATTACAAAACCATTACGGTTCCTGTTAAGCTGCTGTAATAGCAGTTAAACTTGTTTTGAAAACACCGTTTTAATCACCACTGCCATATTTATGGAGGATGCCAGGGAGAGGAGGTTAAGCATGAGAAAGGCTGAGTACATGGAGTCTTAATGGCTCGACCAGCATAGAGACACTCCAGTGTCAACGTAGCATTATATATATTTGAATCGCTGTTGGTCTATTCAATGACAACATGTGGCATTGCAATCAAGTATTAGTCTGCGGTTTGAAATGCCGTTATATTGGTTCAGTTGGCTAAAGCAGCCACAATAAAGCCACTCTTGGTTCATCATCATCATCATGAGACCTCCTTTGCCAGTAGCAAAATATGATAATAGGTTTTTACCCTTTTATCTGGCAACAAAACTGACACCTTTTTACAAGTGATCATGTTTGCATTAACCACAATACTTGCGGTCAAAATGCAAAAAAAAACAGCACTCTGATAATGTATGCATTGTCCTTGAAATTGATTGGTCCACACCAGAGACAGCTTTTGTTATATAGTGCCTTTTGGCGTCATCTGGTCGGACACCATATGGACTGGGTTCTAACAAAAGCTGTCTCTGGTGTGGACCAATCAATTTCAAGGACAATGCATACATTATCAGAGTGCTGGTTTTTTTGCATTTTGACCGCAAGTATTGTGGTTAATGCAAACATGATCCCTTGTAAAAAGGTGTCGGTTTTGTTGCCAGATAAAAGGGTAAAAACCTATTACCGCTCTTGGTTGTTAAATATTGTTGTGATTTGTGTGCCATTTTATACCCCTCCCAAATACTTTCAGGTCAGTGAATCTGTAAATTAAATAAATCCCTTTACAGTACAAACATATATCGCACAGTTACAAAGGTCGTCTTTCCTCAATGAACTTCAGTCTAATTGCACAACTAAATTATCTTCACCTTTATTCAGACGTGCTAATTCAATATCGTCAAAGTCACGCCTTTGCGGGCAGTTGCAGTCATCGTCGCACTTTGACGAATTCCGACAACTCGCTCATCGTTGACTGGGATAAAACGCACTTTCATTAATTGAAGAATATTTTCATCACTAATTTCACGAACAAAATTAACGCTGGAGATGACAAACTGCTATTGGTGGACAATTCCTAGGTCAGCAGATCTCTCTTCCCCAGTAGCTGTTCAAATAAGCGATGGTGTGCAAAGCGCATATCGCACGGCAGTGCACATTTTACGGATGGCACATACGGTCGTAAAGCTACACAATTTGCCAACGACCTACGAAAATAATTACATTAGGAGTAATATATTCTTGGTTTCTTTCGGTAAAGTCACGTAGATAGAAAACAAAAAAAATCGAAATTAAAAGCCTTGCGATCGAAACGTCGTGGGTTTTTTGCTTCAAATTTTGATTTTTTGTTTTTTATCCACGTGACTTTACGAAAAGAACCAAGAATATTAATTCCTGCAGTCACGAACGTTTTAAGTCTACATTAGGAGTAAGTCAAAGCAAGGCTGTAGCCATGGAGTCAACATTGGGGGGGGGGGACCAAATCTTCCAGGGGGTCTGGGGGTCCTCCCCCAGAAAAAAAATCTAAATTTGAAAACTAATTTCCTGCCTAAAATATTTTAAAAAGAACTAACACTTAACTTAACTAACACTTAAAAAGAAATTAACTTATTTATTTTTTACAATAATGTCTAATAGTGTATTGTATTACATTGCTCTTTTATCTTTTTTACCTTTTCTTCATTCTATGTAATGGCAGAGATTAGTGATTAATAAAGTACAACCATAACCACATTCATATAAACAGAAATCTATTTTAAAGCAATATATTGGGGGTGGACATTTTGAGCTTGAATATTGGGGGGGGGGGGGGGGATGTGTCCCCTCCAATATATATTATAATTATGGCCTTGAGTCAAAGAGATTGGGTAAGGCATGAATAATAAAGGGAAGAGAACAGGGGTCACCAATGCTGCTGTTAAATCAAAATGAATCAAGTGGGTATGGGCACGACACGATCTCCAGCACAACTGAAGCTAATTGGCGGGACCCCGGGGTCCCATCACTGCCCCGGGGTGGGAAAACCCGCGTAGCGACACGAGTCTTGTCGCCTTTACCGACAACAAAACTAGTGGTCAATCGATTGGCCTCGTCGAGAGCTACTCGGGGCACTACGTTTCGTAAAAAGTTGAAACATTACATAAACACGTTAAATTCACCGCCTGGGGGGGCGGCGGGCTCGCCTTGGCAAAGAAGCTGAGGATCGACGGCTGACCGGAGGGCGTCGTCGCCGCACGCGACTGCGGCGGACGCCCCCCCGGGCTCGCGTTTGGCTGGTGGGGTGGCGCCCATCGTGGTGATCGCCGCCTGCTGCTGCTGGCGCTTGTTGGCGCGAGTCTGGGCGGGCGGCGCGTTGCTGTCGGGATCACGAGTGGGCGGACTGAACAATAATTATAATTATTGACCTGATTTTTGCGGGACCCCGGGGTCCCGCCAAATGATTCAACTGGCGAACAACAATGGACGCGGCGTAGAGATTGAGAGAAGGCGAAAAAAGTGGAGGCCGGCAGTGAGATGAGCTCAAATAATAATTCATAGACCACTGCTGGACAAGAACTAACTGAAGGAATGGAGGAAAATGAGGGATGGAGGTATTCAATGACGACGGCAACAAGTGGGTTTAGTGGTTGACGCAAACTTAAATGCAGAAATGTGAAGGCATTCATTGCCACAACGCCTTCATTGTTATTCTTGGTTCTTTCCGTAAAGTCACGTAGAAGGGAAACAATTAAATAATAGAAATATAAAGCATTTTTTTACGTTTTATATTTTTATTATTACTTTATCTAAAGAATCAAGAATATGAATCCCTGCAGTCACGAAAGCTTTAAATCAAAATTGAGCCTTCATTGTTGTGAATGCAGCGTCATATTTGCGCTCAGACTTGCAGCATTGCATCATGTAAAGCCTCCGCCATCTGGGCCTTTTTTTACGTCTTACACGTTTACCAATGTAGTGTGATTTAACATTCAATCAACAGCCGTCAACAATGCCAACATTATATTCTTAGTTTTTTTCGGTAAAGTCACGTTGAAGAGAAACAACAAAATAACAAAATATATAAAACAATAAAAAAATTCTCACGACGTTTCGACCATAACTCAAACGGTCATCATCAGGTGTGGCGGTTTGCATAAATGTATTTTGAAAACGGCATATTTATTTATTTATATATATATATAAAAATAACGTTTGCGTCACGCGCAACGATGGCAGTTTGCCCAGGACTAGTCCATCTATTTTTTAAAAAGAGGAGGGGGGAGACGAAATTTGTTTTTATGTATGCTGTCTGAAAGCCACTGTAAGCGTGAACAATCAATCAAGAAGTGAAATGATTTATCAAATCTTTCCAATGATTGCTAAGATAGAATCCATCTTCTCGGTTGAAATTGTCTCTGTGTTTGTATATGTGGATAGCCTCATGAACGAATCTCTCATGGAAGCCAGATGGCTTACAAAGAACCTCCGTCTTGGAAAAGTCAATGGCATGTGAGCCTACTGAATTAGAACAATGATCTGCTACGGCCGAGGTGTTGGTCCTACCGTGTTTAAGGTCTGCTTTATGTTCACGAATGCGGTCCGAGATATGGCGTTTGGTTTCTCCAATGTAACTACTACCACAGAGGCAACTTAGTTTGTAGACACCAGGGTATTGTATGTCCGGAATCACATCTTTTACAGACGGAACCAGATCACGGATTTTATGTAATGTGTTGAAACGGACCTGGATCTTGTGTTTATTCAAGATTTTGGAGATCTTTTTTGTGATCCCAGCAATGTAGGGTAAAGTGATGGTTTTGAAAGGCTCCTCAAGAGGGTTCTTCTTCATGGTTTGAGTGATAGCTTTGCGGATTGTATAGTCGGAGTAACCA